ATTTGATTATGAAGACAACTAATTACAAATTTCTCATATCAAACCCGTTGTTTTACATGTGTTGTTTATGGAACAAAGTCATACTTTATAGAAGCCTGGTATTTAATCGTGTTGAATAATATGTTGCAATAGCAATGTGAAGTTGAAAGAATTAGTGCGCGTGACAGACTTGACCTAAATTCCTCCCTTGACCTTCTCTCGATTGCTGCCTGAATAACAGAAGATACATTGCAAAGGGAGTTCGCAATAGAGCTGTTGGGAAAGGGAGGTGGATAATCACTCTCTCAGTGATACAGCTTGAATAAGATACGATGTTCAGCATTGCGAGGTCAGTGCTTGATATAGCTCAAAAATACGCCTATAGCTATTAGAGATAATCGCTAAATGCGGAAGAGTATATTCTTACAAAATATAGACCGGTTAACTTTAGCGAAATGAGATATATATTTCCCCTAAAATTTGTCAGCTCTTTTAAAAACAAAATAAACAAATTTCAAGGGTTTTCTGCAATACGAAAATTTCAGAAGAGCAAAACGATTTTGAAGTATCTCTTATTGGTGAAATAAATCAGCATCAACATTCCACGAATATGATTTGTATGTTTCGTTTTGGTAACTGTGTGGCTTGAAATTTCAAAGAAACCAAAATGTCGACATACATGCTATAAAATTAACCTCTCCCGTATACTTCGTCGCCTTAAGGGCGGGGAAGAATAAACATAACACGGTACAACAAGTTTAAAGACCCGTGAAGATCTTCAACAACGCATGCTTGCCGTAAAAGGCGACTACCGGAATCGGGTGGTCAGGCTCGCTCACTTGGTTGATGCATGTCATCGTATCCCAATTGCGTGGATCGATGCTCATGGTGTCAATCACTGGATTGTCTGATCGATTATTTACAGACCGCCATCATATAGCTGGAATATTGCTGAGTCCGGCATTAAACAACAAACAAACAGGAAACAAAACAAGTTTAAAGACATAAAATCACGACACGACACGAACTAATAAAAATCATTAGAGCGATCCAGATCGAAACTAGTCACTGCTTATTGAGATTACTCTTGTGTGTTAGCTCCACACCTCATCTAATCTATTGAACAGTTATTATCCTAACACGAAGTTTGTCCGTATCTCCGCCCAGCCGTCTTTCTGTCCGACCGGACATGCATGAAAATTTGCATGCTTATTAAATAGATAATTGTCAAGACTTTGGTCAAAAATGAGTCCGGGCGGTCGGGTAGCCTAGTGGTTAAAGCGTTCGCTCGTCACGCCGAAGACCCGCGTTCGATTTCCGTCATCGGAAAATTGTGAAAAACCCATTTCTGGTGTCCCCCGCCGTGATATTGCTGGAATTTTGCTAAAAGCGGCGTTAAATCAAACTCACTCACTAAAAATTGAGTCCCCTTTATTATTTATTGCAGAGTAAAAGCCTTGATCCATGTGACCTCACTTGGCGCATGTCAGCAATGGGGACAGGTTTTCTCAGAAACTTTAGTCAGCTCATCTAAGAGATACATGTGCCCCATGGCATGTGATAACGCTGTTTTCTTGTTTGTTTTAATTTTGTTTTCGTGTGTTTTATACCTGTGATATTTACCTTACTATTTTATTGTCAATAAAATAACTAACCTCTCATCGCGATATGGCTGCAATATGTCCGATATGATGTACAATTTTAACTCACTCACTCACTTTAAGTAAACAATTCGTCTTCATTATGCATTACAGCAAACGTGCGTGCATACATCTTGAAACCCTTGGATCCACAGATTATCTATCGCGCAGGAAACAGGAACATGACAAATCCAACTTCGACTGAAGCGTAATAAAATTTTGGTAAGAACAAGCAAAATACGGTCATTGCTCTACAATGACATGATCTGATATAAATGTAATTGAGTACATATTATTATATTTTAGATTGATGCCGTTGGTGTGAAAGTATTTATGATCTGACTGATATTGGATTATGGAACGATGATATTATTATTATGGTATTATCTGGCGTTGAAATGTTATATTTCTTTTTTAAATCTAATTTACAATAGAATAGGTATATATACCACAGTGTATATTGCAAACGTGTATTCAATATCATGTATTAATAAAAAACATTAATTATTTTTACATTATTTGTATTTCCTTTGTCACAGTGCATGGTTCACACGTGTCATTCTTGTATGTTTTTCATATACAATATTACAAATATAATATATCACGTTATAGTCACAAACGTGTTACGCAACCGTGGTGAAGAATGGCAGGTCGGTGGTCCGATCTCCTGTCCACTCACACAATACAATCTTCAATCACATGTTAAAATATAAGCAAACTTTTACTTTCTGAACTCCTTAACGCATCATGTTGACAAACTACGTGTCAGATTTAGAAAAATCTTCTGAATGTCTTCCCGAAAATATCTAGAATAACGTTTTAAAAAGGGTTTTAAAAAATAGCGTGATATGTCGATCAGCAGGTCCGTACGTCCCTCTGTCTATTTTCCGTTTCCGGAGCAGAACTCCTAAACCGTTGAATATTTCTTGTGGAAACTCGCTATACAGATCAGTGGTGCCTTTTGGTGATTTGGGATTATTATTTTTGTTTGTTTGTTAGCATGACAAGTTGGACTGAAAATGAGGGTTGTGCTCGTTTACAGAGCGGAAATGCAAAACCTTTGAATATTTTTAGGAGGAAACCGGCTAAACAGGTGAAAGTGTTGTCCTTTGATGATTTGGGATATTGAAAATACTGAACAGCATTACTTGTTTGTTTACTGAACTGATGGCGAGAGTAGGGTATTAGTAGCCAAACTTCATTTCAAAACTGTACAAGAGGTGTATGATCTCCTGATGACTCTTGTATTATTATTATTATTATTATTATTATTATTGTTATTATTGTTATTATTATTTTTTACAGATTAAAATAAAAATGCAGCAAAGAGGGTTTGGGTGATCCTGACACAGTCAGGCTGGTTTGGCTCATCATCAGCTCAGGGCCATTGCCCCCTCTACACGCAGCCCAGACAGCGAATGGGACTTCTCCTAGGAAGCGCTGCCTAGTCAAACCCACCAAGAACTTTTCGGAGAAAATGAAGACTCCCCAACACTGCAGCCTGCTGCACTACCCAGATTGTCAGAAGGGCTGTATTCCGGGTAGCAAACCCGGTTACTCTCCCAATTTCAGTCAACAGATTGGGAGGTACCAAACCTAAGGTACCGAAAGCGAGGTCCGCATATTTGCCATATTTTTCCGCAATCTTGTCAATCAAATTCGTGTCAAAAGGAACAGAAAATGCAATGATATAAATGATTTCATTGGATTGATAGACAAGGACAAGATCAGGTGTGTTGGCCTTGATGGGTCTGAAGCTGTAAACGGGCCTATTCCAAAGAATTTTGTATTTATCATTTTCCATGACGTCCTCTACATATTCCAGGTCGTATCATGGACCTCTGTGTCAAAACCACAAGCATCGGAAAGACGGTAATAAAATGATCGAGCTACACCATCTTGTCGCTTAAGATACTGTGTTTGTGCCAAAGCGGGGCATCCACTGACAATGTGTTGGACAGTCTCATTAAATTCATTGCATAATCTACATTTCATATTTACAGTTTAATGCAAAATCACACATTGACGGTTTTGAGTGGGAAGTGACTTGTCCTGAGCAGCAAACAAAGAGCTTTCTGTTTCACTTTTCAGGCAGACTTCATCCATGCGAAGGCCTGCAGGGTTGAATTGACACCTTGAGAAAAAAGTTTCCGGGAAATTTGAATAGCATAAACATGTTCGTATGTTGCCCTAAGCAACAAGGAAAAGCAGACGCCATAACGTGCAGCTGGTGGTGCACTGCTCGTGAAGAAGTGAAAATTCACGATGTCATTCCTGTTGTCATAGAGATTAGTACAAATTTTGCCATCACTTTGCATTTGTGTGAATCTCTATTCATGGTTTTGGGACAGTATATAATTTGTCTATTATAGTATTAATGGTATCACAATGGGGAGATCATGGTCAAGGCCTGGGTCAAGAAGGAGCATTAGAAGGGTTGTAGGACAGTAATTTCCATAGACAGCTGAGAAACTGTCTGGTCCATACAAGGTTTGATAAGTGGACTGACATTATAGTATAATCTCACTCTTATGGCATAAGTGTTTGCATTTTTTAGTTGGTGTATGATGGTGCCTATAGAGGATAGGAGCCTTCAGTAGTGTCTTTTTTGACACATACCGACAGTTCTGGTAGATCCAGCTATATGACGACGGCCTGGACAAGACGATTAAATTGTTTGATAAGCATCACTTAGAAGTTGACGGATGACAAAGTATAGAAAATATATGGATAACAACTTCTTTATTTACTGTAAAGGCGACTTTTCGGTATATATGTTTATGCCGTTGTCAAGCAAGTGAATGAAAAAGTTGTTATCGATAAGTTATCTCTACTTTGTCATCTGTCGACTGCTTAGTAATGCCTGTCAAACCATTCATCCGTCGTCTACATTGAGACGTGGCAATCAACACCATAAACAACCTCAGACAACTAGAGAAAAAGCACATTCAAACCAGCAATCTTTGCTTGAGCATTGATCCACGCAATTGGGATACGATGATATGCATCAACCTTGTCAGCGAGCCTGACCACCAGATCCCGTTACTCGTCTCTTACGATCAGAATGGGTTGCTGAAGATCTATTTTAATCCGGACCTTCACGGGCTTTACAGCTGTGACTTCAGCATGACACTTGCTTAGTACTTGCGTCACATACAATAAATTAGAACGTATTGGTGTGCCAAACATCAAAGTTTTGTTTAGATGTGTTGCCTTGGTATTATAAATTTTCACCTCAACAATGGTTGCATTCAAATCATTAGTTCCCTAACGTTTTGTCGGAAGTGTTAAACAGTCGACAGCTGCACTGCTCACAGTATACTATTGTATCGGTATCTTTGTCAATTTTATCGTTTTAAAGTTCATCATTGTATGAACATAATGATACACATAGGGGCGTGTGAAAAAACACAAAGGGGTGATAAACGAGGTAACTGATTTATGTTGGAGAGAAACAAAAGAAGTTATCGAAACGAGTCGGCAAGTTAAACATGGTTTCTCTTTTGTTATTTCAAGATTTTTTGTAAAATTCTACCAAGTTGGGGTTACATGTTTCAGGGTCAAAATGACCATATCACACTATATTATTATGTCTCTATAATTATTTTCCAGTTCCGAATATTGCCACTCTGTGCGATCTACGTCCTCTCGAGGAGCAGTTGTTCGCAGCTAATCTGGACATCACTGTGAAGTCTCTTTTCCCGGGTGAAAAACTTGCCGAGGATCTGGGGGTGAACAAAACCCTCATTGCAAGTGCCCCTACTCCAACCAATCTGAGGGGAGACTTCATTTACGTTCGGGATGCCACATTCAGAATGGAAGGTAAAACTTATCATCAGTTTCACTGTACAAGGTTGCATTGTTGTGCTTCAACGGTACAAATCAGGTCTTACGTCTACGGCATAATTGGTGTCATGGTTTATTTCATTTGTAAGGCGGCCATTTATACATTTTAATGCTTAAACCAACAATCATACCTATGTCATTGTGTTAACATGTATAATTCAGGTCTAAGCAGTGAAGAATACAAAGAGGAAATCCGAGACAATTTGGAAAACAGCCGTAAGTACAGACTGGACAATCACCAGGATCTCATGTACAGAGTTCTAGGAGTGTTTCCTATTCAGATAAGTGACTACCATTGCGGTCTTGATAAGGTTTTGCTTGTCTTTGAGTCTGGATCGTTTGTTCTCGTTTCTTTAACTGATTGCCTGGTCCAAACTCGATTACCTATTATGCGGAATATGCCGAAAACAGAAGATTGCATAAAACAACACCCGCTCACTCTCACTTCAATGAACCCAAGTAGATTTCTCAATCAGCTCAATTTCCAACTCGCGTCCAGTATTTAATGAACACATTAACTCATAATTAATTTAGGCACTATCAACGAAAACATATTGTAATCACGTCATCGTCTAAAAAGTGAAAAAATACTGATTATGTTTTTTTCTTTTTCTTTTGTAGATGATGTACTTTGCGGTCCAGAAACCAGAGGATGCTGAGCTTGTTCTTTGGCGTTTAACCGCCAGAAACTCATTTACACAGCAAAGGCGACTATGGTGCAGAACCTCGACGTCTATCTGAATGGCTGTCAGTAGAAATCTGTACCTTTTGCATTAAAGACGTCAGTTTCAGACAGTTAATTTAGCTTCAGTTGGCAATTGTTACTCCCACAGAAAACACAGGATACATTCTCTCAACATCTGAAAATCTTCTTTGCACTTAGCGTTACAATGAATCTTACAATGTTTCTTCATCAGACCATGAAACGGGTTACAATGCAAGTTTCATGTTTAACGCTGCACTCAGCTACATTCCAGCTGTATGACCTGTAAATAAGCGAATCTGGATCACACGATCCTGAGATTGATATTGTGAGCAACGATCCACGCCGCTGGGGTTCGTTGGCAAGAGGAAACAATGTCACCGAGTGTGACCAAGCCTCCCGATCCATTAAGTCGCCTCTTACGACCAGCATAGTTTGCAAAGGACCTACAGTAAACTACGGTTATAACGAACTGACGGATATAACGAACTTACTTTTTGGGTCCCGACTATTTGCTGTAGTTATGCTGTATATATGCTTATAACGAACTAAGGTTATAACGAACTCAAATTAGTAGTCCCCTTGAGTTCGTTATAACCGTACTTTACTGTATTCTAAATCCAGAATACCCATTGGTCTCATGAGCATTATTGAAATTTCAGCATTGGTCCTTTGTAAACCATATAATTAACAACGCCACTGGTTTAACTGAAATCTGCAAGGTAGTTAATCATACAGATCTAGAGGACCAATCCTGAAAATTTAATTAATTTTCCTTCTAGCTAGGTACTTTGTCAAGAATGACATTGACATCCTATATTATCTTCCCTGAAGTTAGTTCAATGCAGCTAATCAGTGAGCACTTTTCAAAGAGATATTTCATGTTTGATGATAACGTAAAAAACAGTTAGTACGTATTGTACATGAAAATGTGACGATTTTGGGGACGAGAAGTTTAACTCGGGGATGACATATACTTTATACATGTATATGACTCTGCCAAACCAGTGTGGCTAAATATACAATAGGTAGATTTGACATTGTTACATGTAGATACTTTGATTAATGCACACAATGCACACATCCTACAAGAAAGGTAATTAAACTACAGGTGGTAATATTTCAAACTTTGTAGTAATATGGGTAAAACAATATAACATGCAAACAATGAAGTAACCCATTACAAATATACCAAAGGCCTGACCCACTTATGGACTGGAAACAGCTCTTATGCAAAGGAAGTTTAAGTGTATGTATGTCTCTGAACATTTAGCAATAGGCCAATATGCAAAATGCAACTATCCGAGGCACTCTGGTGAAACATAACTCAAACCGTTATTGTATAATTTATATACTACAATTCATGAATGTTCCCAAACTACTTTAACCCATTAATACACCCAATTCCTACTGATTGAGTGAGTGAGTTTAACTTTTACATATTCCAGCCGTACAGTGACAAGCACAAATTGTACACTAACAATATCTTAACTCTTGTCGACGATGAACAGTATACAAATTAGATTATCACAGATTTTATGTAAAACTCGTATATAGTGAAGTTAATAGTTATGACTATTATTTGACAGAACAATAGAGATCACCAGCAAAAATAGGCAAAAAAACGGTGAAAATGGTATAAATGGATCACTGAATAACATCGATGACACCAGGTGTTTGCAAATGCTTGGCAACCATACCAGGGACCAGACGAACTTCTCCTACACCGTCCCTCCAGCTGAAAATTAAAACGAACAAATATTCGTCGATTTAATAAGTAGTTTGTTGGTTGTTTAACGCCGTTTAATATTCAAGCTACATGGCGGCGGTCTGTAAATAATTGAGTCTGGACGAGACAATCCAGTGATTGACATCTTGAGCATCGATCCACACAATTGGGATAGATGACATGCATCAACCAAGTCAGCGAGCCTGACCACCCGATCCCGCTAGCCTAATAAGTAGTACCAATAAACATATATGGTCTCACAAAACCCTTTCTGGAAAACACTGAATGCACACGACTTCCCCATCGATGGCAAAGCCACGACCAAACTCGTTATAATTGTTTTACTACCAATTTCTTTACTATCTGTGTTCATCAGAATGTACCAAATATTCATTTTATTTAAAAATCAACAACAACAAAAAGAGCTTGTATTTTTTCAATGTTTGGAATTATTAATCCCTTGTGAGAAAGACATCAACACAGTCAAGCTGGACTTGCTAAACCATGATTGTGATTCTGTCATAACATGGGTTACACATATGAGGATCCTCTCCTTTCAATAGATATCCAGGTAAAAAACGCGAATAGTCTATACATCTCGCCTGGCAATCCATGTAGGTGTTACCAAAAGTTAATTTCATATATTTTTTTAATTTGAAATTTACACGATATACGGCTTTTCCATTGGAGAGGTCGGTCACATGACCGCGAAATTGACGTTCATAAGTGTATGAACATGTCAGAAATGCACATCTAAACTATCGTAGTATCGACTCGATTCGTGTCTAGGCTGACACTGACCGTCTCCAGCAATCTATGAATTTACCTTAGTGTCTTTTTGACGCATCTTTATTCACCTTTAAATGATCGGCCGTTTGATCGATAATGAGTAACACATGTAACCGCCACAGGTTCATTAACAACTTCGGAAATCTCTCCCGTCACGTTTATCGTGTCGGCCATTTTGACGTCTTGTACTTGATGTAAATGTATTACGATGCGCTGTCATTGTGGCTGACTTACTGAGGTAGTTCTTTACAGAACTTATTCATCTAATGAGGATATGGTTTGAACACATGTGCTGCGTAAGATGTGTCTGAAGAGCAAGTTGTGCATCCATACGCTCATGTCACCTCTCTTTTTAAGGAACTATTTTACTCCGCGATATAGCTGGTTGTTGTATGGCTGTCAGTGTAAACATGAAGTCACACGACGTCGTCCTAAATCAAATTGTGTTTAGATCTTGGCCTACATCCTTTGAGGTCAGAAATTGTGATAAAAAATTATAAGAATTGACTTTCACTCAATCCGACGTTCATACAGTTTGGCCCTCACTCTATGAAGGTTCATACTCCAATGAACTCACACAAAGTGAAAGTCAATTCTTAAGTAATTTGTTTATATCTACCCATTTTGCAACTGATCTTTGATTTATCTAATAACAGATCTGATATCAGTGTATGGGAATCGCGATGTCACAGATATGTAAAGTGCAGTTTGTTCAACAGCATTAGTCATTGTATCACCAATGATTCCAGCATGGCTGTGTAACAACCGTATTGACCAGTAGCAAGATCGTTCAATAATTCGACAATTTCAAGTAAAAGGTGGATGTGTACATGACATAAAGACACAAAAGAGAGTACGAAACATTACGTTTAAAGCCGTTAAAATTACCTTGGATTCTGCTTTAAAAATTGAACTATCATTGGGTTATCTCGATGATATAGTGCTGGATCCAGTGGCAATGGTCCTAGCGAATGTGACACCACGAATGGAATCAAACATGGATTTGTAAGTGTCGCGTGTTGTTTTTAGCTGATTATATGCTTGTTGGTAGATTATTTGATTTTCTTTTCAGGTGTCTTTAATTCAGAAAATATGGTTGTCCCAACTGCCATGGAAGAAAAGACAGAAGCTTAGGCGGAGCTATAGTTTCGAGTTTGATATGGGCAGCAGAAATGGCAGGTTTTATTCTTATTCCAAGTGAGGGAATGTGTGTGTTTCGATTTTATAGGTCCTATCAGATGAATTAGAAACGCAGTCATACGAAGGATTAGACTGACTGAAATATAGTTTGGTCATACATTAGAAAGATAGTTTCAGGCGGCGTTCTTTAAGGGACGGTTCATCAGCATCCACATGCAGACTATATTTGGAGATGTTCGGAAGGTACTACGGCAAAGTCTTAGGCATTGATTCAAGTTGTTTTACATTACCTTTGCACTCTCCTTCATAAACGATGAAGCCATAATTCAGTTTGGAGCGTATAAGAACTGTATTATTGGAGGAGGTGTTTCTGATCCCCTTCGCACTCTGTAGAGCCCACAAGCATTGTTTCTTTAAATAATTACTTTGTGATGAAAAGGTTAAAAAATGGTGGGAAATAATGCCAAAGAACTTGTTTCCCTTTCAATTGCCTTTTCATCTTAAAAGGAATGCCATCCAATACTAGGTTAGGGTATTCGTATTAATCTAAACCCAGTTTCCTATTACCATTTATGTATTTCAGTTAGAGTGAGTGAGTGAGTTTGGTTTTACGCCGCTTTTAGCAATATTCAAGCAATATCAGGGTGGGGGACACCAGAAATGAGTTTCACACATTGTACCCATGTCGGCATTCGAACCCGGGTCTTCGGCGTAACGAGCGAACGCTTTAACCACTAGGCTACCCGACCGCCCCTATTTTTTCAGTTGGACTTAACTTTCTGAACCCTTTGACAATATTCATATTCGTACCCACTTCAGGGAGTGTTAAGACATCCACGAATAAACATCCATCAAAAGAGTCGCTCAAAACGTTAGAGGGGCAATTAATGTTTTATACAAAACAACTTGAAAGACAAAATTCTGCCTTGTGGGATATGAGTGAGAAATTCGATGTGGAAACAATATGAGCTACAGTATGCTGTACCATCTAAAGCTTATGAAGTGACGATTTATTGATTCCATACAGTAAACATTGGACAGTATCCATTCTAGAGAGTACCGAGGACTAAACAAGGACCATGGATGAACTTGGGGTGATGGTAAAAACGAATTTTTCCACGGCATCTTAGGTGGGAATAGCAGGATGTTCTCAAATTGTCAACCCGTGAATCAGTAGGAAGATGTGAATCGATAACCGTCCCTTAATCTTTCACTGTTGTAGAAAATGGAATGGTTGACGACCCAACTGTGATTCTTTCATAACTTGTCCTCTGTAGCTGATGTTGTGTGCGAACTAACAGTGTCTCAGTTTTGGCAGCTTCAGTGTGCACTCTGTCATCCAAGTCTTGACGTGTGTAGTGCAATCAGTAGTCCTGCCCAGTGCATCAGCGATTTCTGTCGGTTCAAATCCATACATGATCTGTGTAACATACTACTGGTGATCCACGTCATGCTCTTTTGTTATCTCCTTGAACTCCACAATGCAGAGCAGCAGAATTTGATCTCTCATCCGCAATTACCAAACAGTGTTGTCTTCCATCTCGATAGGACCTTTTGAGCTCCAAAGCAACACTTCTTATCAGTAGATATGTTGAGAAGTATTACATGATCCACAGTGTCTAATGCTGCCGACAAGTCGAGGAGGATTAAAGTAGCCATATTTCCTTGTCAACATGATACTTGAGCTCATAAACAACTCGTAACAGTGCTGGTTCCATACTTTTGTTACATGGGCATACTGATTGTAAGTCGTCCTAAAGACTCATATTAACAGCTTTCTCACTAACCTTTGGAGATAGCTCAAATTAGAAACTGGTCTATAGTTTTAAGTATACCTGTGTCAAGATCTTTCTTTTTCTAAAGAGGCCTGATAACTGCATGCTTCAGTGCGTCAGGGAAGGTGCCTGTACTGAAGCTGAGATTGACAATCTACGTTATGACTGGCAGCAGCAAATGCAAATAGTCCAAGATCAGTTCAGTAGACACTAGATGAAGGAGACATTTTGTCTTCTTTGATGATCTTATAATGTTCACTATGTCAGGTTCATTAAAAGAGTCAAATCTCAAGATCACCTCTCCTGGTGATGGAACCATGTCTTCAATAAGAAATGATTGTAATTTTTCTACTTTGCTGTTGGTGTATCCAATAAACGAGTTTAAAGATCCCCTTTGCTTTCAACAGCAGTCAATTCTGGGACATCTTTTCTTCCAAGCAAAGTACCCATGTACGAATGGAATATTACGAAATACTTAGCAATGAGTTGTTTTAAAACACTGGTTGATGATAGTTACCTCGATTATGAAAGGAATCACGTGTCACACAGGGGGACAATAATTTTACAGTACTTTAACCTCACATTAAATTTAAGTTTATGATACAGAACAATTCTTTCAAGTAACTTAAGATAACATGCTCGCTAACACGGGAATAGAGATGTTTCAGATTCGCTGTGGGAAAATGTGAATCTCTTGCAATTGAATAGCAAGTTTCACCATCAGACAAATATTGCTCTCAACTTGTCATTTCAAATTCCGAGTGGGGAGGGGACCTGACAACCCTCCTTCACTTGTACAGATCGTTAATGCGCTCTTAACTAGACTATGCTTCCATTGTCTATAGTGGGTGTTGACAATAAGTAGAATCATTTTTCGTTTTAATTTAAGCTGCTACTGAATAGCAATTTATGTTTTTCCGTAACTTTCAAGAATTACTTCCCCTTAGTTTGTCACCTGCGGTCCAACACAGTTGGAAACATGAAGAAATCGGTAGAAGGTAAACACATATATGACGCGCTATGAGACGCATGAAGCAAACACAAACACAATTTCATGTATCCAAGTGATGGTGTAGCAGGAATAAACTTTTGAAACGAATGACGTTAATTCTTTATGTTCTCTCACGAACATAAAGTTTCCAACTTTGATGTAATGCAGTGATCGAAAACTGAACACTATTTACGAAACACGTGTTTTGGAAGATTGTAGTTCGCCATGTCAGACGACGATTCTGTGACCACAAACAGGGATGAACTAAGCAGCCCATGTTACTGCTTTGTGTAATAGAGCTTCAAGTGAAATGACAGCCGGTCGTTCCAAACGAAAACTCGGGCAAACACTTGAACAGTTAGAAGCGGCAATAAAATCGTTCACTATTGCACACAAACGTTATATTGACTCGCTTGACACTGAACAAACTCGGTATGAAGAAGAGTGGTTTAATAACCGATTTGATGTGGCAAATGATGTTATTTACCAGATAGCAGTATATTTAACTCGAACCAGTGTTAAAAGTGTATCAGTTGCTTCCACATTCAACACACAAGTTACTGAAAACAGTGCAGCAATGAAAAGTGAGCAAGTAAAGTTAAAAGTTGTTCATGCTGAGGAAAATGCAAAACTAGTTTCCCAAATTGCTGACTTACAAGCGGAAAAGGCGCGACAAGAGGCAAGACATCTTAAAGAAGTGGCCGATCTTGAACATCGTATGTACCAAACTATGCTGAACGACAATGAAAATCAAGCTGATCTGCTTGCAACTAAACACGACAGTAAAGCGTACATACAGCAGTGGCTGGATCAGACTGACTTAAAACACACAAGTCATTTTAACCCTCATGCAAAGCCATTCTACCAAGAACCCATGACACAACAACTACCACAGTCAAGACTTGAACAAGTGCACATGAAACAGCAGTCTATTGATTTGTGGATAGACGAATTAATCATCGGACAAGAAACCACACCAGTGTTCCTGGATGCACATGAGAATTTGTCACATACACTGATAAAACTTGAAAGTGAACGTGATCTACCAAAGATCGTCTTGCCAGTGTTTAATGGTGAAGCTCTTACCTGGCCACGATTTGTTGAGCAATTTTACGTGCAGATACACTGCAGGCCTGCCATTACAGACACCAGACGCATGGACATACTTCAATCGCATGTTGATGGTGAAGCCAAACGACTTATTCAAGGACTTGGTTACAGTGGAAGAAACTATGCTTTGGCACTCAAGGAGCTGAAAGCTTCATTCGGTCATCGAATAAAAGTATGCAGAGCTTTCATTGATAGCGTGGCCTCAGGAGCACAAGTACCTAGTCATGATCCATCTGCATTGCGTAGACTCTATGTTGCTGTTCGTGACTGTATTGCGACATTGCAGCAACTGAATTACCTGTCTGACCTTAACAGCTCTGACATTGTGTTGAAAGTTTCAAGGCGCCTTCCCATCGACAAAGTAACCCGGTGGAATGAGTTCGTTAGAAACATTGTTTCTTTCAGAGACCCGAACCTCACTGATCTGCAGAACTGGTTGAGAGATCGTGTTGAAGCAGACTTCAACCCATATGCCATCCCGATTTTGAGTGAGCCATCACGTGAAGACACCAACAAACGTCGCAAGAACGACACACGGCACACCAAGCCTCAAGAGAAGCGGATTGTCAGAAAGCAATCAACAAAGCCACCTACAATCATTGACAATGTAGATACAACACCAAAACAGGCAAAAGCGCCATGTGCATTGTGTGGTGAGTCTCATTACCTGTACAGGTGTCCTATTTTCGCAAACCAGACTGCATCTGAGAGAAGGGACATAATTGTCGATCACAGTTTGTGCTTCAACTGTCTTAAACCATCACATCGAGCAAACAAATGTTTCTCCACTGTGACTTGCCAAGAGAAATATTGTGGTAAGAAACATCACACACTACTGCACAATGTTTTTTCTGAGCCTCTGGTGGTTTATAATAAGAAACTGCAGTCATCCAGAGCAAAAGTGTATTTGCAGATTGTTCCAGTTCATGCTTTTGGTCCAAATGGCAGAATAATCAAGACTTTTGCCTTGTTAGACTCAGGAAGTGATGTCACCCTTATTCATAGGGATCTGGTAGAAGATTAAGGTCTCCATGGAGAGAGAAGAAAGCTCAAGGTTAAAACATACAACAGTGTTTCAACTGAAAACTCCCTTAAGGTATCACTTGACATTGAATCAGCTAGTGATCTTGATGCACGGAGAATCCATTTGAAAGAAGCTTGGGCAGTTGATACTAATGCCTTTGATTGCCTTCCTCAGCGCATCAGTGATGAATGGGAACACCTCAAAGACTTGCAATTGCCTGATATTGAACCCACCCAGGTCAACATGTTGATTGGTGTTGATGTCCCTGAAGCACACCTTCAACTTGACATGATCCGAGGACTTGAAAATCAACCCGTTGCAGTCAAAACCCTGCTGGGGTGGACAGTCATGGGAATAGCCCACAGTGATGATGAACTGTATCATGAAACTCAAGCTAGAATTAACCTCACAATTGCTCGTGATCAACATTTGAGTGATCAGCTTGAAGACTTCTGGAAAACAGAATCTTTTGGGATTTCACACAACAAGACAAAGCCCTATTCAACTGAAGATGAAAAGGCACAATACATCCTTGAAAGAACGACTCAACTAATTGAAGGACACTATCAAATTGGCATGCTGTGGCGTGATAAATCACCATTGCCAAACAACTTGAAAGCAGCTCAAAGAAGACTCAAAATCTTAACCAAGCGCATTGTGAGAGACCCTGAATTTGGTGTTCTTTATAGCAAAACTCTCAACGATTATGTGTCAAAGGATCAAGCAGAGAAACTCTTGGCTCAAGAAATTGACAATTCATCATGTCGGACCTGGTACTTACCTCATCACGGTGTGATGAATCCTAATAAGCCAGGGAAGGTGAGAGTTGTGTTCGACGCTGCGACTTCATACTTGGGCACATCTCTGAATGACAAATTAATGACTGGTCCTGATCTCGTCAACAGTTTGTTTGGCATCCTTCAGCGATTCAGACTTTTTGAAGTTGCGATAGCTGCTGATATAGAAGGTATGTACCATCAAGTGGGGGTCCCTAAGGAGGACTCTGAAGCACTCAGATTTCTATGGAAATCAGATCTCAAGACTCCTGGTCCTCAGGATGAGTACAGGATGAAAGTACATGTGTTTGGAGCAGCTGACTCATCCTCTTGTGCAAACTACGCTGTGAAACGCACAGCTAAGGACAATGCTGACCTATTTGAACAGTCAGTGATTGATACAGCCCTCAATGATTTCTATGTTGATGATCTTTTGAAATCAGTTGAGACTACTGCAGTGCATCTGATCCAAGACATTACATACTTCATGAAAATGGGTGGATTTCACCTCCACAAGTGGATTTCGAATTCAGAAGTTGTGATGAAATCAATCCCTGAAAGTGAAAGAGCTGTTAGCTCAAAGAATCTTGATCTTAATGAAATATCCACTATCAGAGCCCTTGGACTAAAATGGAATATTGTCTCGGACACTTTTGTGTTTGATCCAAGAATTCACAACAGTGCCAGAACAAAGAGAGGTGTGATAAGCATGGTGAGCTCCATCTTTGATCCTTGTGGGTATTTGGCTCCATACACAGTTCGCGCAAAGTGTCTCATACAAGACTTATGGAAGCTAGGTCTTGATTGGGATGATGACTTGCCACTAGAAATTCAATCAAGATGGAATGGCTGGCTGGAAGAAATTCAAGACTTGTCATCATTCAACCTGTGCAGGCATCATCAGGGCTTTTCATCACAATCCAGTCTCATTGAAGTTCATCAGTTCGCGGATGCCTCCGAGAAAAGCTTTGGAGCATGTGCATACATGCGTTACAAATCTTACTCTGACCAGGATGAAGTGACTTGTTCATTCCTGGCTGCAAAGACGCGTGTGTCCCCCCTTAAGCCTGCATTGACAATTCCAAGGCTGGAACTGCAAGGTGCTGTATTAGCGGTTAGACTTTGGCTTTCTCTCAAAGAAGAATTGATTGTCCCTGTCCAGAGAATTCAGTTTTGGACTGACTCAAATACAGTGTTACAATATTTGAACAATTCCAACAAGCGATTCAAGCCTTTCGTCGCTAACAGGATAGCAGAAATCCACGATTCCACAAAACCTCAACAATGGCGTCATGTCCCATCAGATATCAATCCGGCTGATCACTGTACTCGCGGACTTCAAGCAAAACAGCACACAGAAACACATCCATGGCTACGGGGTCCAGAGTTCTTATGGAAAAGTGAGGACACATGGCCAAAACTGTCAAACCCTGTTGATATGCTCAGTGATGATCTTGAAGTGAAGAAGAGTATGTTCAAGACCACTAGAAATGCATCATCTGAAATCAATCTGAATCAAAGACATTTGACTCAACCACAAATCACAAATTTGTTGAATCCAGCTGACTATTCTACATGGCAAAGACTGTGTCGCATTTCAGCTTGGGTTCTCAGAGCAGCCAGAAACTTTCTGTCGAAACTCAGGCATCTTGACCTCAAACCTGTAACAGATGAAAGTCTGACAGTGAGTGAATGTGAGGAAGCGTTGCTAGCCTGGGTTCAAGAAGCACAAAAGGATGCATTTCAAGATGAGATTTATTGTGCTCAATCCGGAAACGAAATATCTCCAAAATCATCTCTGATAACACTATCACCATTCTATGATGGACGACATCTCAGAGTGGGAGGACGACTTCGAAAAGCTACTATTCCAAGAGAAGCGAAGTATCAACTCCTCCTTCCAGATTATCACCCAATCACACAGCTACTGATGAATAAAACTCACAAGGAAAATGCTCACTGTGGTACTGAACTCATTATAGCTACAGTAAGACAGCGATTCTGGCCTCTTCATGCAAGAAAGTTAGCAAAGCGTGCTGTCAGAAGTTGTCAAGAGTGTAGGAAGCGTTCCGTGAATCCAGTTGCACCCAAGATGGCAGACCTTCCATCATGTCGTGTAAGCCTTACAGATGGAGTATTCTCTCATACTGGAGTGGACTACTTTGGCCCGATTGTGGTAAAGTTCAAGCGAAGCACAATGAAAAGGTGGGGATGTTTGTTTACTTGTCTGTCTGTAAGGGCAGTACACATTGAGCTTGCTGATTCATTGGAAACAGATGATTTTCTTCTCGCCCTCAGAAACTTTATCGGGCGTCGTGGAAACCCTCAACATTTGTATAGCGATAACGGTACAAACTTTCATGGAGCAGACAACGAACTCCGTCAGTGCCTTCACAATCTCAAACAAGCCAAAATCAGTGACTTCCTGTGTGTGCGAGGTATTCAGTGGCACTTTAATCCACCGCTTAGTCCGCACTTTGGTGGTGCATGGGAACGACTGGTGAGATCTGTAAAAACAGCCTTAACTTGTGTTTTGAAAGGAACCCTTGTTCATGAATCTGTGCTTCGCACATCTCTGATTGAAGTCGAAGCAATGCTGAATAGTCGACCTTTGACTTACAACAGTGCAAACCCAAACGACTTCACCGCCTTGACACCGAACCATTTTTTGCTCGGCAGATCTAACCCATTCCAACCAGTTGATGTGTTCCAGGACAAAGAGATGTGCAGCAGAAAAAGATGGCGCCAAGCCCAAGTCCTTGCAGATCATCTGAATCGCCGATGGATGAGAGAGTACTTACCTAACTTGACAGTAAGGCATCGCTGGAGAGTTGGTGGTTGCAGAATATCGGTCGGTGATCTTGTTCTGATAGTTGATGACTACAAACCCAGAGGTCAGTGGGAAATGGGAAGAATAATTGACATTCTGCCTGGTGATGATGGTGAAGTGAGAGCTGTGAGAGTGAAAACTCCCAAGGGTGAATACACAAGACCTGCTGTGAAAGTGTGTGTTCTTGAATAGACAGTGTAGATGTGATCTCCAATCATCTATCATTGAATTACCTGTTTATCAGGTACGTAGACTGTGACGTTTAACTCTGTCAGGTGGGGTGGGGTTTTGTTGACAATAAGTAGAATCATTTTTCGTTTTAATTTAAGCTGCTACTGAATAGCAATTTATGTTTTTCCGTAACTTTCAAGAGTTACTTCCCCTTAGTTTGTCACCTGCGGTCCAACACAGTTGGAAACATGAAGAAATCGGTAGAAGGTAAACACATATATGACGCGCTATGAGACGCATGAAGCAAACACAAACACAATTTCATGTATCCAAGTGATGGTGTAGCAGGAATAAACTTTTGAAACGAATGACGTTAATTCTTTATGTTCTCTCACGAACAGTGGGGCATGCAAAAACAGTTTACAAAAATTAGACACTATATACGCCACCAAGGCCAAAAGCTCTATTTTGGAATTTTAGATACTTTAAAGTATCCCCTCAAATCATCCCATAATTCTTGACATTTTAACGATCTTTCCACTGGCGTAGCTCAATCGTCTTTAGCTGGCTGCATGTCATGTGGGCACAGCAGGTAACTCAAAAGCCGATGCTGCAGCTGCAGCTCTAGACAAACTGTTATTTCCAACCTTTATTCTGCACAGTGATTTCAAACCAACCATCTAAAATATATACTCGGGATCTCATGCAAAAGAGGTGGGACACCCAGATAGGGATCAATAAGCTTTAATGAAGTTTTAATCAACAATCAGTCGTACCTACTGGGCCTCATACTTAACCGTCATTTCACATTCTCACCACTGGTCAAATATCTGAAGGGAAAGTGCATTCAGGCTCTCGACTTGTTAAAAGTCGTTTCAAATCACACAACCATCTCTCACTTGTTCAGATCTTTAATACGCTCTGAACTAAACTATAGTTCCATTTTCCATTGTGGAGCTTGCAAAAGCAATCATAGAAAAATAGACACCATACACTACTAAGACCTAAGGCTCTGTCTTGGAGCTTTTAGGACATCTCCTGCGGACAACCCCACATTAAACTACCACTGCAATACATACCTAAATTACATTCCAATCAATCAAACCCAGCATACAATTGTGTTTTCAACTCTCCGTATGAAAACCTGTGTCGAAATTTGTCCAATCTGGTTCCAATCAGAATTCAGCCACACATCGCTGCAGCTAAAATAGATCTAAATATTTTATCACCTTACCGACGTCTGGCGTTTCCTCCCGGCAGATGGTGAAGCCAGATATTTCGAAACAAATCCCTTGGTATATCAACAAGAATACAACCAATTACGAAGAAATTCTCACAGATTCACTTTTACATACGGTCCAAGGATAGTGGAAATGTTGCAAGCGCCACCATCATTGGATCAAAACCTGTTTCTTCAAGAATCTCAGATGATAGTTCAATTTGCACTACTGAGGCCAAATCTATCTTAACAGCTTTCACCTATATTGAACAACAATATTAATGCAAAAATTTCTTCATCTTTTCAGATTCATTGTCTTGACTTCAGACACTTAAAAGTGTCACCTCAAATCACCCTATAATCCCAGAACTTTGCAATGATCTTTCTACTGGCTTTCTGACATCGTCTTTTGCTGGTTACCAAGTCATGTAGGCATAATAGGTAACTCAAACGCCGATGCTGCAGCTAAAACAACCCTTGAATGCCGTTATCTTCACTCTTTATCCCGCACAGCGATTTCAAACTGTCCATCAAAACATATTACACGGGAATGCATGCAAAAAAGGTGGGACAATAAACTTCATGAAAAAAAATCTACTTGGGTTGTCAGTCAAGACATGAAGAGGTCGTTTTTACGACGTTGTCGTATCAGCCACAGTCGGTGTACCCACGAATATCTCCTTAAAGATGAAGACGAACCTACTAAGTGCATCCCTTGTGATGAAAGGTTTATCATCAAGCATATATTGCTTGACTGTGTGGACCTTGCATTTGGAAAGGATTCACATTATCCCACAGTAAATCTGAAACATCTCCTTTCTGGTGTAAGCGGGCATCCTGTCATAAGTTACTTGATAGAAATTTGTCTGTATCATTCACTTTAAATATGTAAATAAATATGTAACTAACTGCTTTTTTTAAAAACCTGGAGTGATAATTTTATTAACAAAGATTATCGAAGGTTCTGGCCTGGAGATTAAAGTACCCTATATTGATTGTCTAACTATCATCAACCAGTGTTTTAAGCCACCTCATTGCTAAGTTTTTTTTAAATATTGCTTAGTATTGTGCACCATCACCTGAAGCCAAAGTGATGACGTAAATCCTGCTGGGGTATCGTGCAAGGTATTCAAGCTTTGGTTACTGGTAGCCTATAGCCCTTGTTTTATTAATTTTGTATAAATAATATTGTTGTGCTCAAATATGTTTCACAAATTTGTTTGTAAATATAACTTTGCATTCATGACTCACTTGTGTATATATCAACTTGTTCTTGTCTCTAAATGGCTGAAATAAGGCCGATGCGACTTAAATTGTAACTCGCTCAAATTATAGGTCGCACAAATGTTGATTAATAACATATTCTATGTTCAAAACATGAAAAACATATTTTTTCACTGTCTCCCGCCATTGTACAAATAGTAGTGAATATAAACTACAGAAAGAGTCCTAGCAAGCCTTCGTCATCGAACTTACTTTAATGGACCGAGTGGTCATGTTTGGTTGACGTGGTGTTGTACCACAATGACGCGGATCATTGTTTATGATACTGACCACTGTATTTCTGCGTAAGGCAACATACTAACACATACTTTCATATAAAAAGAGTGTGGGTGATCCAGAAGAGCAGGAAGTGCTTAACCCCTTTCGTGAACACCTGGTGTCAATGTGAGTGTCCATATACTTGTATTCACAATGAACTTTAACGCTCAATGGAATCTGTCTCGACAGATAATCGAGACTGAATATACTTCGGCGCTGACATTTTGAATTAAATGACATCTCTATTGCTATGCATCGGGCAAACTTTCACTTACAGACATATATCACCTCTATTTTTTCAGAAAGTAAAACGTGGTCATGTTTATGAATCAGTGTTTAACATGTGACTTATATATTTTATCTTTTATTATCATTATATCTTTTATACTGCACAAATGTCTTCTTATGTCAACATGGAACGGTACGAGGTACGCTGAGGTGAAAAAAGCTTAAACGTCGCATTCAAAAATATTTCACGTTTGGGGCTGTTTATGATAGTCCAGACTTATGCTGGTTTCTTGTTGCTAGCACACTGAAATACATTGTCGCAGTTAAATGTGATATTGTATATGAAACACATATAGGAAGGCAATGATGTGAAGCGTGCATTATGACAAGATAATGAATATTATGAACAAAACATGATATTAATTACATGTTTACCAAATGCGCTGTGACATATATTTATATTATTGTATACGATTGAGACCTTTATTGCTAACCTTTATTAGATTAGACTTATCGGATTACTGATTATCTATGTCTCTCACTCAATATTATACTATAGAAAAGTATAATTAATCTAGTTTGTTTCAGCTGGTACATAATGGGCACCGTCAGTCCGTCCGTTTGTCGGAAAAATGTCGTTTCCAGAACAGATCTTGAAAACCGTACAATATTTCTTTACCAAACTTAGCACATGCATAGGTTAAGTGGTTAACTGGTGTCTTTTGATAGCTTGGGATGTTTTAAAAAAAGAAAACTCGAGTTTCCATGGCACCAATTTTGACTTAGACTGGAAATGGTGGTAGTGCTCGTTTCTGGAGCAGATCTTGGAAACCGTACACAATCTCTTCACCAAACAGCATACAAAGATAGTTCCAGAGCTGAACTGGTATCTTTGACAGTTTGGGATCTTCGGGAGAAAGAGATTTTACTAGCTGACTTAATCACGACAAATATTTACAAATATTTACCATGAGAAGGATATCGATGACTTTGGCCTCTTGTTGAATATTAACCCGAAAAATGGCTATTGATCGCCAACGCTTTTGTAACAAGTACAATAGGCATATGTTCGTCGAAAGTGTTTCAAGACATATCAGGGAATAATTTTAAGTTAGTGTCATATTGATGTTACAGCTAGATAACCCGTGATGATCCGGATTAGAATAGATCTTCAGCAACCCTTGTTGTAAGCAATGCTTGTTGTAAGAGACGACTAACGGGATCTGGTGGTCTGGCTCGCACACTTGGTTGATGCATGTCATCGTATCCCAAATGCGTGGATCTATGCTCAAGCAAGGATCGCTGGTTTGAATGTGCTTGGTTGTTTATAGTGATGACTGGCACGTCTCAATATAGACGACGGATGAATTGTTTCGGAGGCATTACTGAGAAGTTGACACATGCAAAGTAGAGATAAGTTATCGATAACAACTTCTTCATGTACTTGCGTGACAACGCTATAAACATTATACCGAAACGCCGCCTTTAAGGTAAATAAAGAAGATGTTATCCATAAATAATCTCTACTTTGTCATCCGTCAACTTCTAAGTAATGCCTATCAAACAATTTAATCGTCTTGTCCAGACTGTCGTCATATGGCTGGAATATTGCTGAGTGTATTGCTGTGTGCATCTTACACCATAGTGTAGCACTACAACTACTTAATATTATACAAGCCATACAATTTAATGCTATAAATTCACTTTGTTATACATGCTGGATCTACCAGAACTTTTGGTATGTGTCAACAAACAAGACATAACTGAAGGCTCCTATCATCTAAAGACACAGTCATACACCAACTAAAAAAATGCAAACACTTACGCCATAAGAGTAAGATTTTGCTATAATGTCAGTCTACTTATTAAACCTTGTATGGACCAGACAGTTTTCCAGCTGACTGTGGAAATTACTGTCATATTCCTCTATAAAAGTCCTCCTTTACCAAGGCTAACCATGATCTGACACTAATGTGATTAACAAGATTCAGTAAAAACATGGCAAATATGCGGATCTCGCTTTCGAAATGAA